ATTAACATATAGCACAGGGCTGGGAATGTGCTTAGTGGTAAAATGCTTGCATAAAGTATACCTGAAGCCCTGGGTTCGATTCCTCAGTATCACACAAACAGAAAAAGTTGTGATGTGGCTGAAGTGGTAGAGCAAAAGCTCAGGGACAGTGCTCAGGCCCTGAGTTCAAGCTCCATGATTGGAGAGAGAGAAAAAAAGCTCAGGGACAGCACCCAGGCCCCAAGTTCAAGTATCAAGACTGGCAAAAAAAATTAACTCAACCTTCTGGGATTACAGGTGTTCTAACCTGCTTAGCAACTGTCCTATACTGTGTGTATGTGCTTGCGTGCATGAGCATGCGCCAGTCTTGGGGCTTTAATTCATGGTCCAGGCACTGTCCCTGCGTTTCTTTTGCTCAAGGTTATTGCTTTACCACTTGTGCCACATCTCAACTTCAGCTTTTAGTGTTTAATTAGAGATAAAAGTCTAATAGAAGCCAGGCATCAGAGGCTCAAAGCCAGCCTGGGCAGGAAAGCCCAAGAGACTCATCTGCAACAAACCACTCAGAAAACCAGAAGTAGCAGGGCACTAGCCTTGAGTTGAAGAGCGGAGGGACAGCCGAGTTCAAGCTCTACAACTGACAACAACAACAACAAAAAAAACCACCTCACAGACATTCCTGCCCATGCTGGCTTTGCATTGCAACCCTTAGACCTCAGCCTCCTGAGCAGCTCGTACAGGTGTAGGCCACTGGCACCTGGCTGTCCTATACCTTTTCTTCCCATCATGGGGCTTGTGCGAGGTCTCTCGAGCTTTTTCATTCAAGGCTAGCTCTCTACCACTTTGAGCCACACTCCCCCTTCCAGTTTTCTGGTGGTTAATTGGAGATAAGAGTCTCATGGAGGGGCTGGGAAGGTGGCTCAGTGGTAGAGCGCTTGCTTTGCGTACATGAGGCCCTGGGTTCGATTCCTCAGCACCACATAAGCAAAAAGAAAAAAGCCGGAAGTGGCGCTGTGGCTCAAGTGGTAGAGCGCTAGCCTTGAGCTGAAGAGCTGAGGGATAGCGCCCAGGCCCAGAGTTCAGGCCCACGACCGGACCCCCCCCCCCAAAAAAGTCTCATGGACTTTCCTGCCCATGCTGGCATGGAACTGGAATCCTCAGATCTCAGCCCACCTGAGTAACTAGGACTACAGCCACTGGATGTCCTACTTTAAGTCAAGGACTTATTCCATTTAAAAACACAAAAAATTCCACTTGTCTAATGATGAATATTTGAGAATTGTTGTTTTTCAGAAATTGAACACCTATAGGAAAAATTCCTTCACTAAAGGCTAAAAAATAAAACTTGCACAGGAAATAGCATTCAGAGTAGCCTTTTTAATTAACAGGTGGGCTTAATTCTCTATAAACTAACCGGACAACAAGCAGTATTAACTCTTTACCCACACAGAACTAATGTTCAAACTGATACTTGTATACTTTTATGAATCTTGTCTGTCTTTAAGTAACTTGTACTATCTGAAGATTGAGGCCCTGGCTTAGATTCCTCAGCACCATATAAACAGAAAAAGCCAGAAGTGGGGCTGTGGCTCAAGTGGTAGAACACTAGCCTTAAGCTGAAGAGTTCAGGGACAGTGCCCAGACCCAGAGTTCAAGCCCCATGACCAAAACAAAACTCCAATGAAATGATTGTAGTGTCATGTATTGCAAATTTTAGGCAACAACACTTTACAGGAAGTTACATATAGTAAGCATACAAACCTGAATTTGAGACAAGTTCAATATCATTTCCTTCAAGGATTAATTCATCTTTCTGGGCTTGAGAGACTGAACAAGCAACACCTAAAAAGAGAACATTTGTATGCTGTTAACATGAGAGCTGCATAAAAAAATGTGTAATAACTTCTAAGTCTTTGGGAGACTAATGGAAAGGGGTTGGACTGGCAGGGAATATAACAGAGGAATAAATACTATTGAAGTTATAATTATGAAAACAAAACAAGAAAACCTGCCAGGATGCTATTTTGGGGGAGAGGGAGACATGGAGGGATTGAAACAAATTGGAATGTGGTGCAAACATATGGAGGTATAATAGTGGGAAACACCCTTTCCTGCAGAAGTTAAGTTTACACTACGTTTGTGCCCCATAAATATATACTATCAATTAACAAAAAATGCAAAACTCTTTTGAAAGGATGCAAATTAAAAACAGAGCCAGGCATTGGTGGCTCACACCCGTAACCCTGAAATCTGAAATCCAGGAATCACGATTCAAAGCCAGCCTGGGCAGGAAACGCTGGGACTCTCATCTCCAATTAACCACCAGAAAACTGGAAGTGGTGCTGTGGCTCAAGTGGTAGAGAGCTTGCCTTGAGCTGAAGAGCTCAGGGGCAGTACCCAGGCCCAGAGTTCAAGAACCATGATCAAACAAACAAGTAAACAAACAGCAGGGAATATAACTATATGTGAGAATTTGCTTTTAGGAGCCCCAAGGTTCGGTCTACAGCATACACAAACAAGCTCCAACATCCTGCAAACCAGCAACTAACCTTCTGGATATATAAAACTCCTATTTAAATAGCAACAGGTTTACAGATTGAAATATGATTGAAGTCTTGGCAATGCTAAACCCCAACCTTCTGAATATGTAAGGGATAGCATAAGAATCACATCTGAGGGCCACTTACCTGTCCTCATCCTAACTCTTCGGATGTATTTCTCACCCAAGAAGTTTCGAATTTCAACTAGAGACCCATTCTCCTGAATAACAACGTTGATGGGGAAGTGAGCATACACAGACCTCATCTTGTAACGAAAGCCCTGTGATAAACAAAAACTTTTCAGTTGGGTTCTCAATGGGTAGCCCAAGATGACTGGAACCTTCTAGCCTGCACTACACCTGGATTCAGTCTTGTTGCTTATAATTCTCACACAGCACTCATTGTCAGTTTTTTGTCACTTTTACCAAGACTCCTGTAATGTCATCAATATATACCACAGGGACAATTTTGTCTCCTTACTGGACTTTAAACCAGTTATTTTTTTACGCAGTTAAGATCAAGGCAAAATAAAACAGAGCCCAGACTGTCACGTAACTTAGTATGGGAAAAAAAAGAGAATTCCCAAACCGTGATGTAGGGCTTCACACTTACAATGTAGAGTTCCAGGTTCTAACACAAAGAAAACCCTGACCTCAGCATGAACTTTAATTTTGGCAGTAGAGCATGTGTAACAAATACTGACATAAAATGCACTTAGGAAACCAGGAAGATGAGAAACTTTTTCCACCCAAAGGATCCCCACAGTGACAGGTCCACCAAAAATTAATCAAGTCTTCACTACATGCTCAGGCCATTTTTCATTAATAACCAACTCAGGGGCTAGAAATCAGAGGCGGAGCATTGTTCTCTGCATGTGCAAAGGTCCTGGGTTTAAAGTCAAGCAACATACCCCCCCTTAAGTTATGTTTAGCCAAGTTCTACAGTCCACAAAACTCACCAAATCACATGTGTAACCTATTTTTTTCAGCACTATACATAAATGTTATACACATAAAAACAGATGAAAAACCTCTTCCAAAAGATTAAAAACAAAAAGCGTGACCATGTTTCTTACCAGAGTAACACCCTTGATCATGTTCTGTACATGACTACAGATAGTGCGCACAGTGGCCAGTTCCTTTCTGTTTCCCCACCATTTGTCAACTCGGAGCTGTAACAGAATAAAACTATTAGGAGAGGCATTTTCCATAGGTAAACAAGCTTTAAAGAGAACTCTTCCATTCACTTATTCAATCAACTACTGTACACTAGTCTTAAGGGAAAATAACCTAAGCCTCACAATTTTTGTCCACGATGTTAACACATTTCACTTCTGTGGAGCCAGTTCTTTTTTTTTGTTTTTTTGGGGGGTCCGGTCGTGGGGCCTGAACTCTGGGCCTGGGTGCTGTCCCTCAGCTCTTCAGCTCAAGGCTAGCACTCTACCATTTGAGTTACCGCGCCACTTCCGGCTTTTTTCTTTTTGCATATGTGGTGCTGAAGAATCAAACCCAAGGCCTCAGGCATGCAAGGCAAGTGCTCTACCACTGAGCCACCTTCCCAGCCCGGAGCCGGTTCTTGACATAGAAGCAATTCTAGTATACACACACACCCCCCTCCTCAAGAGCTCAAAAAACGAAAAGTAATAAAAAAAAAAAACCAAGACCACATTACCCTCTTCTTTTTCTTTCCAAGGAGGCTGAGTTCTACGTTGATGTGGTTGAAATCCCTCCGCAGGGTTCCGCGGGGACCTTTCACAATCACCGTGCGTCCCTTCAGAGTGATGTCGACTAAGGAGACAAGGAGCTCGTGAGCATGCAAGGCGTAAAGCAGAGTAACAGACAAAACAGAACCACAAGCATGAACCTCGTACCGTTTTCTGGAATGTCGACAGTCTGATTACTGAGAATGGTCTTCATTCTGAAACACAAACAGTCGGATGAGAAGGCTGGCGCCGGCGCTCAGGGGTCCACTCCTACCCGGAACTGCCAGGCCGAAAGGCTTGGGGAGATGGGGGCCGAGACAGGCACCCCAAGCCACGAAGCCTGACGCGCTCCCGCTCCGTCCACCCCTAGCAGTCCCATCCGGGCGCGCCATGGCGGTAAGACTGCAGGGCGGAGCAGGCCTAGAAGCCCAGAAAAGAACTTGTATCTGGCGCTGCCAGGCGCATACGGCGCTTTCCGCACCGGGGGAAAACCAGGATGAGGACTCAGAACGTTGGACCCGCGCTAGCGACTCTCCCGGAGCCGATGGCTTTAGATTCCCCCCGGGACAAGAGCACAGAAGAACCATCCTCACCTCGCAGTAGATGGGGCAAAGAGAGAACGTCTTTCGTCATCACGTTCTTGTAGCCCGGAAGGGCCCCGTGTCTCACGTCATCAGCGCGCGACTCTAGGCTAAAGCAGCCAATCGCAGAGCAGCTCAGATTGCTTGGGATGGCTGTGGGTGCTGGCGTGTTGTCATAAACCCAGCGACGGCGTCTGGGGTCGACCTTCCCCCGGGATTGGCGGGGTCCGGCGTCGGCGCGGCTCTGCGAAATCAGAAGCAGGGGGAGATGTCTCTGCGCTGCGGGGGTGCCGCCCGCACCCTGGGGCCCCGGGTGAGCGGCGAAAACACGCTGGAAGGGCGAGGCTAGGGAGACTTAAGGCAGGACCGGCGCTTCGTCGCCGTAGCAGCCGCGGTTTTGCAGCTTGCACTTGCTTCGTGCCATTTAGGAAGGGGCTGGGCGCCGGGGCTCGCACCGATCATCCCAGCGGATCCGGAGGCTGAGATGTGGAGCCAACCCGGGCAGGAAACGCCCTGAGACTCTTATCGACAATGCATGAACAAAACAAGCCAGATAGAAGTAACGCTGTGGCCCAAGTGGTGGAGCATCAGTCCTGAAAAAGCTAAGGGATTAACGCCCAGACTATGAGTTCAAAACCCAGTAGCGGCACGCGCGCGCGCGCACACACACACACACACACACACGCGCGCCGCGCGCGCGCATGACACCACAACGAAACGTGGGGGCGGGGAGGGAGTGGTTATATGAACTACGGGCTGGTGACTCAACAATCTTTTTTTGGGGAGGGGAGGGTCGGTCATGGGGCTTGAACTCTGGGCCTGGGCGCTGTCCCTGCGCTCTTCAGCTCAAGGTGAGCGCTCTACCACTTGAGCCACAGCGCCACTTCTGGTTTTCTAGTGGTTTATTGGAGATAGGAGTCTCTCGAAGTTTCCTGGCCAGACTGGCTTTGAACCGTGATCCTCAGATCTTAGCCTCTTGAGTAGCTAGGATTACAGGCGTGAGCCACCGGCGCCTGGGCTTCGACTGAATCTTGAGATCAGAGGACCTCGGTGCCAAGGCACCTGAGAGACTCTGATTTCCTATTACCAGAAAAATGTGAGAAGGGCTGGGAAGGTAGCTCGGTGGTAGAGCGCTTGCCTTGCATGCGTGAGGCCCTGGGTTCGATTCCTCAGCACCACATAAGAAAAAGCCAGAAGTGGCACTGTGGTTCAAGTGGTAGAGCACCAGTCTTGAGCTGGATTGCTGAGGGACAGCGCCCAGGCCCAGAGGTCAGGCCCCACCACCGGATCCCCCCCCCCAAAAAAAGAAAAAAATGCGAGAGTGGAAGAGTTGCTCAATGGGTAGAGTCTAGCCATGAGCAAGGAAACAGATGAAAGCCCCAGTACTGACAAAAAGTGCAGGTGGGAGGGAGAAAATGGCGGGGAAAGCAAAGGAAGGAGTGACAACGTCCAAAGTAGAAATGTGTGCAGTACCTAGCCCATTTTATTTATCTTTTATTTATTTATTTTTTGCCAGTCGTGGGGCTTGAACTCAGGGCCTGGGCACTGTCCTTGAGCTTTTTTTTTTTTTTTTTTGTCGGTCGTGGGTCTTGAATTCTGGGCTTGGGCTCTGTCCCTACTCTCTTCAGCTCAAGGCCAGCGCTCTACACTTAAGCCACAGTGCCACTTCGGATTTTCTAGTGGTTTATTGGAGATAAGAGTCTCACAAACTTTCCTGCCCAGGCTGGCTTTGAACCTTGATCTCAGATATCAGCCTCCTGAGTAGCTAGGATTACAGGCATGAGACACCAGCACCTGGATCCTTGAGCTTCTTTTGCTCAAGGCTAGCACTCTACCACTTGAGCTACAGCATCACTTCCTGTACACAATACCTGAATTGTGAAATGAGCCCCTCTGTACGAGACCTTAATAATAATAAAATTGTATTTTTTAAAATATGAACATTTGACTTATATTTATACTCCCAAGATTATTACATTGCCAAATTTATTCTGAATGTAGAATTTTGCAGTTACCCACTGTGGTTTGTCTTCTCATTAATTTTTTTTTTTAAGTTGCTAGTACTGGGGTTTGAACTCAGGGCCTCACACTTTCACTGGGCTTTTTTCCCAGTCTTTTATTTAGATTCTAATCTCCTGGGGCTGGGAAGGTGGCTCAGTGGTAGAGCGCTTGACTTGCATGCCTGAGGCCCTGGGTTCGATTCCTCAGCACCACATAAGCAAAAAGAAAAAAGCCGGAAGTGGCGCTGTGGCTCAAGTGGTAGAGCACTAGCTTTGAGCTGAAAAGCTGAGGGACAGTGCCCAGGCCCAGAGTTCAGGCCCCACGACCGGACCCAAAAAAAAAAAAAAAAAAGATTCTAATCTCCTTGGCATTTAGAGCTCCTATGGCATTTAGAGTTCCTACATCCTTTGAATCATTTCTGACTCAGTTCTGGGTGTTTATCCTCTCTTTTAGGTATTGTAATGGACTAAAACCAAATGATTCCAATTACTGAGTATCATAATAAATTCTTTCTTTAGGTATTTGGAAAATATTTATACAGCCCCATCAGAACATTAACTTCTTTGCCAGATAAAAAAAAGGAATTGTTACAGAATGGACCAGACCTACAAGAATTTGTATCTGGTGAGCTGGCAGACAAGAATACCTGGGATGAGTATAAAGGAAACTTAAAACGCCAGAAAGGAGAAAGGTAACTGAAAATTTGAGATAACTTAATGTTCCATTTCTTCATTGTGCATTTTTTTCAGATACCATGAAGACAGCATAGCTTTTTAATTTCAGACTTGTTAAATTTAGCTGGAGATGATTAGAAAGAAGTGATAACAGACCTAGATAGAATAGCTAAGGTTGATTCCACTCCCCCCCCCCAGGCCCACTAATACGTTCTCAACACCCTTCCTAAGGCTCTGACATTTTCGTGTGTGTGTGTGTGTGTGTGTGTGTGTGTAACAGCCATGGGGCCTGAACTCAGCCTGTGCACTGTCCCTAAGCTCTTCAGCTCAAGGCTAGTAGTGCTCTACCACTTCAGCTACAGCACCACTTCTGGCTTTTTCTGCTTGTGTGGTGCTGAGGAATGGAACCAAGGACCTCATGCATGCAAGGCAAGCATTTTACCACTGAGCCACCTTCCCAGCCCCTCTGACATTTTCTTTTTTTTTGTCGTTCATGGGGTTTGAACTCTAGGCCTGGGTGCTATCCCTCAGCTCTTCAGCTCAAAGCTAGCGCTCTTCCATTTGAGCCACAGCACCACTTCTGGTTTTCTGGTGGTTAATTGGAGATAAGAGTCTTTGAACCCCAATCCTCTCAGATCTCAGCCTCCTGAGTAGCTAGGATTACAGGTGTGAGCCACCGGTGCCTGACAGCTCTAACATTTTCTACTACTATCTTCCAATTTCATACCCAGCATCTAATTTCTTCATAGAGTAAAGAGTATCACATTGCTAGGAATTGCTTAGGTCACGATAAAGATTTATAAGTGGATATTAATCTAACTTGTTGCTTTTCCTAGTCATTGCAGATAACCTTTCAAATCCTTTGATTTGAAAGAGTGATGAGGATTTATGCAGAAGGAAAATTGTTTTGAATAGCCTTTATCCAACAACTTGTAGATCATGAGTAGAGTCAAAGGAAACCAAAATACCATCTCCACTCCAAATTTTACATTTTTTTCCATTTAATAATGATCATAAAATGTAGAATACAGAACAGACAGGGCAGGGTTGGAATGTCTCCACATTATATTTAGTATAGTATTTTGGATAATATTTTTCATAGGAAATGAATGTTCAAACTGTCATCATTCATTCATTAGAATGATGCAAAACGATCTTTGCAAAAGGCAAACATGAGCACAATTCCCATTAGACTTTTCTCACATGTTTTTGAAAGTGAATTGAGTCTTCTTACTCATGTGGCACAACTTGTAAGAGTTAACCCAAGACTATGAAAGGAATTGTGTTAACAAAGTAAACTTCTAAGCTGTGAGATTTGACAGTTTGTTAATAGACTGTTATGTTTGGCTTTACTCAGGTTAAGATTACCTCCATGGCTAAAGACAGAGATCCCTATTGGGAAAAATTACAATAAACTGAAAAATACATTGAGGAATTTAAATCTCCATACAGTAAGTTGTCAAGTATTAACCCTCCATTTTGGCTGAAGACTATAATGTTTCTAAATATTTATGGCTTAAAATTTCTTTTTTTGTTTTTGAGAAAGGAGCTATCTATGTAGCCCAAGCTGGCTTTGAACTTGAGATATTCCTGCTTCAGGCTCCTGTATTGAGTCTGCCACTATAACTGGCAAAAAAAATTATTAGTAAGTAAATAAAAAGGAGGAAAGTAAATAGAGACATTATTACTGGTAACAAAAATACATTCAGGAGCTGGGAACATATCTCAGTGTTACAGTGCGTGTGAGGCCCTGAATCTAGTCTCTAGCACTAACCCAAAATTTTATGTAAATTCATGTTTTTATACTAAAGAAATAGCAGTAACAGTGTATACACTTATACACAGATACACGTGAGCACACACATGCAAGCATACACAAAAAATTCTTCTCTGAAACATGGGAAACAAATGTTGTTGAAGAGGGTGGTGGTGGTTGCTTTTGTTTGTTTGTTTGGTACCAGTCCTGGGGCTTGAACTGAAGGCCGGGGCTTTGACCCCAAACTTTTGGGGTCAAAGCTAGCACTCTACCACCTGAGCTACACTACCACATCCACTACCACATCTAGCTTTTTGCTGATTGATTGGAGATAAGAGTCTCAAGGATGTTCTTGCCCAGTTTGGCTTTGAACCACACTCTTGAGATTTCAGCCTTCTGAGTAGCTAGGATTACTGGCATGAGCCTCCACTGTCCAGCAGTGGTTTTTTTTTTTTAACTTATTATTATTATTATTTTTAATCTGATGATTACTGTTAAAAGTTAAGTAGCAAAAAGCCAGAATGAGGCTCAAGTGGCAGAAAGCTGTGAGCAAAAAGAACTTAAGGCTCTGAGTTAAAGTCTCAGTACTGGCACACGACACAGACATAGACACACACACACACACACACACACACGCACACACACACACACGAAATACATTGTAAACAATGGGCAGCTTGAAATTTGTAATCATTAGTTGTTTATTTGGTAGGTTTTCCCACCCGATTGTCTTCTGTTCCCTTTTGCTTCTAGGTATGTGAGGAAGCGCGATGTCCGAATATTGGAGAATGTTGGGGGGGTGGAGAATACGCCACTGCCACAGCCACAATCATGGTAAGGCCAGCTCAACCTCGGAAGCGTTTGTGAAAGACAGAGGCACTACAGTACGTGCATTGTCGCTGCTGGGAAGATTTCTCCTTTATATATGAGTTTATGAAAAAGAAAAACAAATGAGTGCTAACATCTTATGTATTTTTCTGTCCCATCTGTTTAACAACACAGAGCTGTAGTTTATGTTTAACTCCCACACAGACCTGCAAATGGATCAGTTGATTGAATATTTTTGTCTTCTAAAATGTTACTGGCTGGGCTCCAGTAGCTCATCTGTAATCCTAGATAATCAGAAGACTGAGATTTGCAAATCACAGTTCAAGGCTAGCCCACACAGAACAGACTATCTCTAACCAGCAAAAAAACAAAACAAAAAAACAGATTCAAGTTGTAGATCAAGTGGTAGAGTCAAGAGTGGAATAAAAGGGCTGGGAATGTGGCTTGGTGGTAGAATGCTTGCCCAGCCTGCTTGAAACCCTGGGTTCAATGCCTCAGTCAGTACCACATAAACAGAAAAAGCCAGAAGTGGCGCTGTGGCTTAAGTGGTAGAGCACTAGCCTGGAGCAAAAAGAAGCTCAGGGACAGTGCTCAGGTCCTGAGTCTAAGCCCCAGGACCGGCAAAAAAAAAAAAAAAAAGTAAAAAAAAAAGCCAACTGAATCTGGACACTGGTAGCTCATGCCTATAATCCTACTCAGGAGGCTGAGATCTGAGGATCACTGTTCAAAGCCAGCCCAGGCAAACAAGTCTGTGAGACTTAGCTCCAAGTAAACACCCCCAAAACCAGAAGCAGAGCTGTGGCTGAAATGGTAGAGTGTTAGCTTTGAGCATAAAAGCTCAGGGACAGTGCCCAGGCTCTGAGGTCAAGCTCCAGTACTAACACAAAACAAACAAAAAAAGAACAAGAGTACCTGGCCTTGGAACTAGCAAAAAAGAAAAAACTGCCGGGCAGTGGTAGCTCATGCCTGTAATCCTAGCTACTCAGGAGGCTGAGATCTGAGAATTTCGGTTCAAAGTCAGCCCAGGTAGGAAAGTCCATGAGACTCTTATCTCCAGTTAACCATGCAGTAAACCAGAAGTGTACTGTGGCTCAAAGAATTCAAGCCCCATGACCAACAGAAAGAAAAAGAAAGAAAGAGAGAGAGAAACCTTCTACTTATTGATAATAAAATAGGTAGCATAAAAGAAAAAGAAAGCCAACATGTTTATTTAAAAAAAAAAGAAAGCCGGGTGCTGGTGGCTCATGCCTATGATCCTAGCTCCTCAGGAGTCTGAGATTGAGGTTCAAAGCCAGCCCAGGCAGGAAAGTCCGTGAGACTAATCTCCAATTAACCACCAGAAAACCAGAAGTGAAGCTGTGGCCCAGAGTGGTACAGTGCTAGCCTTGGGCACAAAGAGGCTCAGGTACAGTGCCCAGGCCCCAAATTTAAGCTCCACAACTGACAAAAAAATTAAAAAATAAACATGACTGATTTGTTCACATTCTTTGCAGCTTGCTCTGAACATTACATTCTTGAGGGTCATCTCTCTGATTTAAATGGTAACATCTGTATTCTAGTTGATGGGTGACACATGCACAAGAGGTTGCAGATTTTGTTCTGTTAAAACTGCGAGAAACCCACCTCCGCTGGATGCTAATGAGCCCTCTAGCACTGCAAAGGCAATTGCAGAGTGGGGTCTGGATTACGTTGTCCTGACATCTGTGGATCGAGATGGTTAGTAATGTGCTCTCATGGCTTCTACCAGAAATTGCCTTTTACTAAGTTGTGGCATCATCTTGTGGCATCATTTTCTCTTCTTTCTAGATTTGCCTGATGGCGGAGCGGAGCACATTGCAAAGACTGTGTCATGCTTAAAGGAAAGGTACTTGTTTCTGCCTTTGTGAAATTCAAGTACCTTTATGGAATCAGGATTTCTGTTTCAAAGGTGACTTTAAAGAAGCAGTTTCCAGTGTTGTGGGAAATGTCATGCTCTTGGTAATCTACTGGGAAAGATTTACCTGTTCTTCAGAGAAAGTATTTTCATGCATACAGATGCATAGAAAATTTCAGTGATTGCATGAATTTCAGTGGCATGCACGTATCCACGGACTATTAGTATCTATTTAGACCTCAAGTCTAAATTATGAGTGATGTTATTTAAAAGGTGTTAAGCCGTGATCTTAGCACTGAGTTTGAAGAAATCATCATGTGAAAGTAATTAAGGACTCAGGCACCAATAGCTCACACCTGTAATCCTAGCTCACACCTATAATCCTAGATGGAGCCACAGCTCTGCTTCTGGCTTTTTTGAGGGGGTGGTTAATTCCAGATAAGACTTTTCCAGACTTTTTTTTGGGGGGTCCGGTCGTGGGGCCTGAACTCTGGGCCTGGGCTCTGTCCCTCAGCTCTTCAGCTCAAGGCTAGTGCTCTACCACTTGAGCCACAGCACCACTTCCGGCTGTTTTCTTTTTGTTTATGTGGTGCTTAGGAATCAAACCCAGGGTCTCAGGCATGCAAGGCAAGCGCTCTACCACTGAGCCACCTTCCCAGCCCCTTCTTTTTCTTTTTTTTTCTTTTTTAGCAGGTCCTGCAGCTTGAATTCAAGGCCTAGGCGCTGTCCTTGAGCCTCTCTGTGCTCAAGGCTAGCGCTCTACCACTTGAGCCACAGCTCCACTTCTGGTTTTTTCTGTTTATGTGGTACTGAGGACTGGAAACCAAGGCTTCATGCATGCTAGGCAAGCACTCTACCACTAAGCCACATTCTCAGCCCCTCTTCTTTTAGCTATTCAAAGACCAGCTCCAGATACTTTGTTATGGGGTTTGTGGGGGGGAAAAAAAAGTCACCTGTCCAAACCCTTTCTGCTAGTGTCAAAGAAAACCATAGCTCTGTTGCTATGTGTTTGAGTGAATAGACATGGCCACAGTATGAATAGGAAGATTAAAATTTCATTTAAGCAAAATTCATGACTCAGCAATCCAGAAAATTGTTTCTAAACCCATAGCACTTGGGAGGAGGGTACTATTAATGACTGTAAAAGAAATCAAAGCTAGCCAGGCGCCAGTGGCTCACGCCTGTAATCCTAGCTACTCAGGAGGCTGAGATCTGAGGATCACGGTTCAAAGCCAGTCCTGGCAGGAAAGTCCATGAAACTCTTATCTCCAATAAACCACCAGAAAACCGGAAGTGGTGCTGAAGCTCAAGTGGTAGAGTGCTAGCCTTGAGCTGAAGGGCTGAAGGACAGCACTCAGGCCCAGAGTTCAAACCCCAGGACGGACAAAAAAAAAAAAAATAGTCAAAGCTGAAGCAATCAAATGGTATTCACAGAAGTGTGTCAGGTGGCTGGGAAGGTGGCTCAGTGGTAGAGCACTTGCCTTGCATGCTCAAGGCCCTGGGTTGATTCCTCAGCACCACATAAGCAAAAAGAAAAAAGCCAGAAGTGGTGCTGTGGCTCAAGCGGTAGAGCGCTCGCCTTGAGCTGAAGAGCTGAGGGACAGCGCCTAGGCCCAGAGTTCAGGTCCATGACCAGCAAAAAAAAAAAAAAGAAAGAAAGTGTACACAATGTATTAATCAAAATATGGTATTTGCAGGGAGAATTCAAATGGTCTAATTCGTTAGAAAAAACTAGCAGTCCAATAAAATGAATAACAAGAAACTGGTATTTGAAAGAAATCTTACGGGGCTGGGAAGGTGGCTCAGTGGTAGAGCACTTGCCTTGCATGCTCAAGGCCCTGGGTTCGATTCCTCAGCACCACATAAGCAAACAGAAAAAAGCCGGAAGTGGCGCTGTGGCTCAAGTGGTAGAGCGCTAGCCTTGAGCTGAAGAGCTGAGGGATAGTGCCCAGGCCCAGAGTTGAGGTCCCACAACCCGACCCCCACCAAAAAAAGAAAGAAATCTTATGAAACTAAGTTAGTAGAAATTTCCTGATATGTCATAGGTCAAATCACACTCCTGAAGACATATCTTGACCATAGAGTATGTCCTAATAGATCGTGTCTGGGCTATCATATGGATGTTTGCAGGCCTTTAATTCACTGTTCCCTTCACCTTCTCTGCCTAACATACCTAATCCAAGACACCCTCCTCAGCTGGGAATATGGCTTAGTGGTAGCATGCATGAAGTCCTGAGTTCGATTCCTCAGCACCACATAAGCAGAAAAAGCCAGATGTGGTGTTGTGGCTCAAGTGGTAGAGTGCTATGCTAGCCTTAAGCAAAAGAAGCTCAGGGACAGTACGGCCCTGAGTTCAAGCCCCAGGACTGGCAAAAAAAAAAAAAAGAGAGAGAAAAGAAAAAGACACCCTCAGCCGGGCGCTGGTGGCTCACGCCTGTAATCCTACCTACTCAGGAGGCTGAGATCTGAGGATCGAGGTTCAAAGCCAGCCCGGGCAGGAGAGACCATGAGACTCCTATCTTCAATAAACCACCAGAAAACCAGAAATGGTGCTGTAGCTCAAGTGGTAGAGCGCTCACCTTGAGCTGAAGAGCTGAGGGACAGCGCCCAGGCCCAGAGTTCAAGCCCCACGACTGACAAAAAAAGAAAAAGACACCCTCCTCTCCATTTTATTATTCCATAGTATTACAGCTGTGTTTCTTTATAGCTTTCAGCTCCGCCCGGCTATGTTAATCATTCCTACATTTGAAACCTTTACCATAGTCCCTGATACATATCATTTTTGAGCCAATAGATTTAGCCTTACTCTTCATGATGTGAGGAATTGAACCCAGGGCCTCATGCATGCAAGGCAAGCTCTCTACCACTGAGCCACCTTCCTAGCCCTCAAATACTTTTTTTTGGTCTGTTATGGGGCTTAAAATTCACAGTTATGAAATATGCCTCAAATTATACTTAAATCTACAATTTCAGCATTATAAATGCCTACAAATACCATTATAAATGTACTTTGTGCTTTTTTTTTCCCTTTAGCTCTCCGTGAAGCTGATGTAGACTGTTTAACTTTGGGACAATATATGCAACCCACAAAGCGCCATCTTAAGGTAGAGTCTCTTAAATTGCCAAATGCTTTCTAGTAATTCAGTGATGTCTTCACTGTTCACAGGTAAAAATAAGAACTGTTGGCTTTTCGGGTAATGTTGAATATGTACCTGTAAGTTGCAGTTTCATTTTATTATTTTCCTAAAGTAGCTACTCTGGTTCTTATTTGCTGCCACTTAAATTGTATGAACCAAGTGAACCTACAGAAAAGGACAAAAAATTGGGAAATCTCATTCATTGACAGTCCGTGTCTTCTGGCTAAAGTTATGCGTAAGCTAAAGTAAGAGAGCCCAAGTCGGGCGCTTGTGGCTTACGCCTGTAATCCTAACTACTCAGGAGACTAAAATCTGAGGATTGTAGTTCAAAGCCTGCCCGAACAGGCAAGTTCATGAGCCTCTTCTCTCCAGTTGACCACCAAAAAGCTAAAAGTGGAGCTGTGGCTCAAGTGTAAGAGTGTCAGTCTTTAGCCAGAAAAGCTCAGGGATAGCACTCAGGCCCTGAGTTCAAGTCCCAGGACTGGCTCCAAGAAAGAAGAAAAAGCGAGAAGCCTGGTGCTGGTGGCTCACGTCTGTAATCCTAGCTACTCGGGTGGCTGAGAGCTGAAGATCACAGTACAAAGCCAGCCCAGGCAGGAAAATCCCTGAGACTTTTATCTCCAATTAAGCACCAGAAAACTAGAAGTGGAGCTATGGCTGAAAGTGGTAGAATGTTAGCCTTGAGCAAAAGAGCTCAGGGACAGCACCCAGGCCGTGGGTTCAAGCCTCACAATCAGTAAAGACAAAGAGAGAAAGAAAGAGGAGGAAGGGGAAGGCAAGGAAGGAGGAAGGAAAGAGAAAGGAAAAGAAAGAATAAAAAAGGGAAAAAAAGAAAAAGGAAGGAAGGAAGAAGAAAGAGCTAGTCCAGGTTTCTATTTCTATAATGAACTATTATGTGGATGGTAGAATCTTGATTCTACCTAGAAATCAATGAAGAAAAATACAGTCTTTACATATAATTGTACCTTCCTCTGTCATTTGGTTTAGCCACTGCAGTACAATATTGATATGTTCCCCCTCCTTTCTGATTCCCTATACTTACATTCTGATAGAGGGGCGAGAAGTAATCTGCAGACATGTCATCAGTGAGCAAGGTAGAGTCCTGGATAAATGATGTAGGATCAGAATGTTTTAGGAAAATGCTACCTGACCTGAAGAGATTATTTAAATCTAGGTTGAAGAATATATTACTCCTGAAAAGTTCAAGTACTGGGAGAAAGTAGGAAATGAACTTGGATTTCATTATACAGCAAGTGGACCTTTGGTGCGTTCTTCATATAAAGCAGGTGAGCAGGACTGCAGGGGATGGTTTTTGTAGGCCATTAACTTTTCAGTGTAAGTCCTGCCTCAGTTCATCAAAGCTGTTAAGTGGTCGTGGGGCCTGAACTCAGCCTGGGCACTGCCCCTCAGCTCCAGCTCAAGGTGAGTGCTATACCACTTGAGGCACAGCACCACGTCAGCTTTTTCTGCTTATGTGGTGCTGAGGAATCGAACCCAGGCATACAAGGCAAGCACTTTACCACTGAATCACCTTCCCAGGCCCTGTGGTTATCTTTTATTGGGGGGATAAAAAGTATTTCTTTTTTTCTGGAACTTCTTTTGGAGCTTTGCTTCATCGGTGTCCTATTAAGGAGAAATTTCTCTTAAACCTAGATTGTTTTTTAAATCAGCCCTACCTACCTTGATGTTTAGTCACATTAATGAAAGCAGTAACAGATTATTTATTATTCTATGTGTAGATTTCACTGTCAGATTATTCATAAATCACTAAATATATCAAGCATATAATCATTTTCTGGCAAATGTGCATACATTTGGAAATGATGCATCCCCATACTCGCAATTTCACATCAGCCTAAGCAGCAGACTTTCATAGCATTGCTCCTTGCACTGGTAATTTCTTTCCATTTTTTCCCCCTAGAGGTAACAACAGAAAAAAAAAAAAAACTCCATAAAATCATTTTTCTCTAAAGAAATTTTCATCAAGCCAGGCACTGGCTGAGATCTGGGGGTCACTATTCAAAGCCAGCGTAGGCAGAAAAGTCTGTGAGACTTTTTTTTTTTTTTTTAGACAGTCGTGGAGCTTGGGCTTGAACTCTGGGCTTGGGTTCTGTCCCTGAGCTCTTCAGCTCAAGGCGAGCACTCTACCACTTGAGCCACAGTGCCACTTCTGGCTTTTTTTTTCTGCTTATGTGGTGCTGAGGAATTGAACCCAGGGCTTCATGCATGCAAGGCAAGCTCTCTACCACTGAGCCACTAGCCCTCAAATATATATTTTTTTTGGTCTGTTGTGGGGCTTGAACTAGCCTGGGCGCTGTCCCTGAGCTCTTTAGCTCAAGGTGAGCACTCTACCACTTGAGCCACAGTGCCATTCTGGTTTTCAGGTGAGATAAGAGTCTCATGGACTTTCCTTCCCAGGCTGGCTTTGAATGGCGATCCTCACTCAGATCTCAGCCTCCTGAGTAGCTAGGATTATAGGGGTGAGCCACCAGCACCTGGCTCAAATACTATTTTTTTTTTTTTTTTTTGTGGGTCGTGGGGCCTGACCTCTGGGCCTCGGTGCTGTCCCTCAGTTCTTCAGCTGTAGACTAGCGCTCTACCATTTGAGTCTTAGCTCCACTTCCAGCTTTTTCTGCTTATGTGGTGCTGAGGAATCGAACCAAGGGCCTCATGCATGCAAGGCAAGCACTCTACTACTGAGCCACCTTCCCAGCCCCTCAAATACTATTTTTTTAACCCTCTTAAAATGGAAAAATTTGCACCGGAGGAATTGCTTTAGCTGTCATTCTAAAGAAAAGGCTTCAAAATACATCTTGGGGTTGGAGATTTGGCTCAGTGGCAGAGTGCTTCCCTGGCATACCAAAGGCTCTGGGCTGTTGAGCTGGGCTTTCATCTCTACCAGCCTGAATGGACACAAACAGATGCTTACACGAGCATGTGCGTGCACACACACACACAGGGCACCTATACAAGCAATAGGTGATGCAGCAGAAAAATGGGTATGTTTAAATTTATTTTTTATTGTTATTATGAAGTTAATGTACAGAGGTGTTATAGTTACATAAGTCGGGTAATGAGTACATTTCTTTTTGGACAATGTCACCCTTTCCCTTGTTTTTCCCTTCCATCCCCATCCACCAGTTGTATAGTTCATTTTTGACATAGTGTCTAGGGAGTACTCGTTAACTGATATATGAGCCAGACGCCGGTGGCTCACACCTGTAATCCTAGCTAGTCAGGAGGCTGAGATCTGAGGGTCATGGTTCAAAACCAGCCCAGGCAGGAAAGTCCGTGAAACTCTTATCTCCAATAAACCACTAGAAAACCAGAAGTGGCGCTGTGGCTCAGGTGGAAGAGCACTAGCCTTGAGCAGAACAGTGCAGGGACAGCAGTAAGGCCCAGAGTTCAAGCCCCACGACCGACAAAAAACAAAAAAAAACATATATATGGAATTGTAACCTTTGTAATCTCTTTGTACAATTACTTAATTTTTTTTAAAGTAAATACTATTCTTCCTTTCCTCCTCTTCCTAGTAATTTTAGTGGGTAGAGACAATGAAAGCTTTTTATTCTACATGACTATATTCAAATTTCTGAAAAATTAAAATTAAAATACAGACAATATTATTAAAACTCAGTCAAGTTGGTGCCAGTAGCTCACACCTGTAATCCTAACTACTCAAGAGGCTAAGATCTGCGGATCAAGGTTCAGAGCCAGCCTGGGCAGGAAAGCCATGAGACTTACAAACTCCAATAAACTACTCAGAAAAATCTGGAAGTGGTGTTGTGGCTCAAGTAGCAGAATGCTACTTAGGCTCAGGGACAGTGCCCAGGCCCGGAGTTCAAGCCCCAGACCAACAAAAAAGAATTGAAGGAACGAACAATTTTTCTGGCCTTTACCCTTGCCATCTTAGCCATGGCTGGGCATGTTGAAGCACAGCACACAGCCTGTGCCAACTCTGCCATGAAACCACCAGCAGTGGGTGCCACTTCCCCAGTCTCACCGAAGAAACATTATCCTTTCTAGTGAAAATTCCAGAACCTTATTTGTTTACCTCACCTGGCAGTGCTGTGTGCTCACCAGCAGAGGGCAGCTTAGACTTTTAGAAAAAAATGACCATTGAAAGTTTCAGAACTCTGAAATGGAATGTCAGGTTAGTTGTTTGTTTTTTTTTTCTGTCTGCTTATTTTTTGTTTTGACTGCGCTATACAGCCATTATAACTTTGAATTTCAGAATTCCCACTGCTCAATCCATATACTGGAGAAAGGTCTTCTGTGCTGGTTTGTCCTCTCTAGGCTTGAGAGATCTTAAAAGTTGTCAGAGCTTGCAAGCCTCCTGCGGCCTCCTTTTCTTTCCTAAATCTAGCATTTGTGCACAAATGCCACCATAGAGCCACATAATGGGATGCAACACTCACAGTGGGCTTTCTGGTCTTTCCTGTTATTTGTGTTACTGTGTACTTGGTGGAACTTGTAGTTATTTTTGTTGGTCACACCCTCCTATTTTTCAGGAAAGTTCGTGATCCCCGGGCCAATTTTGACCAGTCTCTACGTGTCCTGAGACATGCCAAGGAGATTCAGCCTGACGTTATTTCCAAAACATCGATAATGTTGGGTTTAGGCGAGAATGATGAGCAAATATATACAACAATGAAAGGTAAAGAAGTTGAAAAACGAAAAATCTGTCTCATTTAATTGGAGTAATAGCAGGCCCAGATATACACAGGAAATAACATTTTCTCTCATGTGTGGAAGCTAGAACTAATTTATAAATGTACAAGGGAATACAGGTTTGTATGAAAGTGTACACAAGGGCTGGGAAGGTGGCTCAGTGGTAGAGCGCTTGCCTTGCATACATGAGGCCCTGGGTTCGATTTCTCAGCACCACATAAACAGAAAAGGCCGGAAGTGGTGCTGTGGCTCAAGCGGTAGAGCGCTCGCCTTGAGCTGAAGAGCTGAGGGACAGTGCCCAGGCCCAGAGTTCAGGCCCCACAACCGGACCAAAACAAAAAACAACAAAAAAGTGTGTCAGTTTACTTTGTGCATAGTAAAAACAAAACATGTATATATATATATATATATATATATATATATATATATATATATATATATTTAATGTTTCACCTTTTAATTCCTGCAAATGATTTTACCCAAGGGGCTGGCTTAAATGGTAGCAAGCTTGAGACATAAGTTCAAACCCTATTATCACCAAAACCAAACAAACAAAAACTATTCAAATTAGGTTTAAAAGTCTTTGTTATCTTAAATGTTTTGTTTTGTGTTTGTGGTACTGCATATTGAATTAGGTGTTGCATTCTTCTAAGCAAATACTCTACCACTGAGTTACATCCCTAGCCTTTTAAAATTTTTCTTTTGAGGGTGGGGAAGGTGGCTCAAGTGGTAGAGTGCTTGCCTTGCATGCCTGAGGCCTTGGGTTCAGTTCTTCAGCACCACATAAGCAGAAAAATCTGGATGTGGTGCTGTGGTTCAAGTGGTAAAGTGCTAGTCTTGAGCTGGAGAGTTCAGGGACAGTGCCCAGGCTAGCCTTGAACTTGCTGTGTAGCCTAAGCAGGCTTCTAACTCATGATTCTCCTGTCTCAGTCTCATAAGGAGCTGGGATTACAGGCATATGTACCACCATACTGAGCTTCAGTTTTTATTCTGATTGTTATTTGCATGGGGTTGTGTTTGAACCATTCTATAAATATTATTTAATGCTCTTGAGTTTATTTTGTTCTGTATCATAGGGGGTATTCTTCTGTCTGTGCTTTTCTTAGGCTGTAAAGATTACTCTGTTCACACTGATCATGGATGAGTATGACAACTTATTAAAAGTACCATTTCTGTCATTTGTTCTCCCTAATTTGATATGTCTCTTTTTTTTCCTCCTAGGAACCCAAAAATTCTTGTGGAATGCCTTACCCCAGATTTCCGAGGGGATCTTAAAGCAGTAGAAAAAGTTGCTCTATCAGGATTAGATGTGTATGCTCATAATGTAGAAACAGTTCCAGAATTACAGAGGTGATTACATACACAGAGTATGGTTGGGAAGTTATGGTCACATATTTACATAGTGAGCTCCCTTCTTGCCTTCCTTTCTTCCTTCTTTATTATAGAACAATCAGAAAACATATTCAACAAAAACACAAAGTATCACCCATAATAATTTCATCCAGTAATCACTTAGTGTCATTCAGTGGGGGAGATCCAAACCATGAAGTGAGTAACTGACATCATTTATGCTTTGTTGTGATACACACTTTCCTCTCTCAAATACTTTTTTTTGGGGGGTCCAGTCGTGGGTCTGAACTCTGGGCCTGGGCGCTGTCCCTCAGCTCTTCAGCTCAAGGCTAGCGCTCTACCACTTGAGCCACAGTGCCACTTCCAGTTTTCTAGTGGTTTATTGGAGATAAGAGTCTCACAGACTTTCCTGCCGGGCTGGCTTTGAACCACTTTCCTCAGATCTCAGCCTCCTGAGTAGCTAGGATTACAGGTGTGAGCCACCGACACGGCTCAGAGACTCTTACCTCCAGTAAACTACTCAGAAAAAGTTGGAAGTGATGCTGTGGCTCAAGTAGTAGAGCCCTCGCCTTTGGCACCAAGAGACTCAGGGACAGCACCCAGGCCTTGAGTTCAAGGCCTAGGACCAGCAAGACAATAAAGCTTTTGTTTGTTTGTTTGTTTTGTGGGGTGGAAGGGGCATACCACTTAGCTTGACTTGCTGGTTGGAGTTCTACCACTTCACTATCACCTCTAGCCTGGTTTTTTGCTTGTTATTTTGGAGACGGAGTCTCGTAAACCTTCTTGCCCTAAAGGAACCAGGATTCTTCAGATCTTGACCTCCTGAGTAGCTAGAACCCTGGTTAAAAGCTTTTTTCTTTTTCTTTGTCCTGGGACTTGAATTCAGGACCTGGGCACTGTCCCTAAGCTAAGATAGGCTATCTATCACTTGAATCAAAGTTCTACTTTCAATTTTTTTTTTTTTTTCCTTGCTTTCATGGGGCTTGAACTCTGGGCCTGGGCACTGTCCCTGAGCTCTTCAACTCAAGGCTAGCCTCTATCACTTGAGCCCCAGCTCTACTTCCAGTTTTCTGAGCGGTTTATTGAAGAGTCTCATAGTATTTCCTGCCTGGGCTGTCTTTGAACTGTGATCCTCAGATCTCAACCTCTTGAGTAGCTAGTATTATAGGTGTGAGCCACCAGTGTCTGACTCTAAAAGCATTTTGTAAAAGATAAAACATCCTTTAAGGAGGAACCTGACAAGCTCAAGACCCTGAGTTCAAACCTTAGTATCTCCAAAGGAGAAAAAAGATTGCTGTGTATATTGAGGTCTAAATCATAGATATGTTTAAATTAACTATAATTCTATTTCAAAGAATTTAATGTTCATGTATTAGTAAAACTCAGTTTCCAATTCATTTAAGACGTTTTTTTTAATTGGTCATGGGGCCTGAACTCTGGGCTTGGGCGCTGTCCCTCAGCTGTCCAGCTGTAGACTAATGCTCTACCACTTGATCCTCAGCCCCACGTTTGGCTTTTTGTTTTGCTTATGTGGTGCTGAGGTATCAAAATGAGGGCCTCATGCATGTAAGGCAAGCGCTCTACCATTGAGCCACCTTCCCAGCCCCATTTAAGACATTTTTATACACTTTTTTTCTCTGGTCATGGGGCTTGAACTCTGGGCCTGGGTGCTGTCCCTCAGCTCTTCAGCTCAAGGCGAGCACTCTACCACTTGAGCCACAGCACCACTCTTGGTTTTCTGAGTGGTTTATTGGAGATAAGAGTCTCATGGACTTTTCCTGCCTCGGCTGGCTTTGAATCATGATTCTCAAATCTCAGCCTCCTGAAAGCTAGGATTACAGGCATGAGTTACCAGTACTGACTTATACACTGTTTAATAGTT